CAATCAAAAATACTAGCTAGCTTTTTTTGACATTTCAAAAATATATGACTCAGTAAATCTCAATAGTCTAGAAACAGCCATGAAAAGGGTCAAGATTTCACAAAACTTCCTTAGAATCATTATAAATCTGCTTCAAAACTGATCATTACAATTTATCTCGCACTACAATATTATCCATCCAGTAATAATATCTCAAGATTTGGATCAAGGTGAAATGATTGCTCCACTTTTGTGGATAATATTCGATGATTCAGTAATAATTAGAATTCAAAGTATTTTAAAGAAGAATGATACAGTTTTTGCATATATAGATGATGTGGCTAGACTTATCAAAAAAATTGAAGACTTACAAGTTGCAACCGATATTTTTACCTCTTTCTTGAAACTAAACCATATAACTTATAACAAATCAAAGACTAAACTTATAATGAATAATTCAAGAAAAAGTGATAAGAGAAAGAAGAAATTAAAAGTAGAGGATACACTTATTTCACCAAAAGCTCTTGATCATGGAATCAGATACCTGGGAGTATATTTTAGTGACAAATCCCTAGAGAATGTGACATATAAAAATTTGATAACTAAAATCAACAATTTCATTAAATATATATTAAAACAAAGAGCCTGAAATGGGTCTATAACCAAACAAATAACACAATGGATCATATCCGCTCAGCTTGAATTTGCCTTACAGGTCATGCCCACCAGGAAAAGTGAGATACAGAAATTATAGGCTCTGTATAACAAGTCAAACAAAAGCAAGCTTGGTGTAGAGAAAACCTTGTCCAACAAAGCATTTCTTTTATTACTGGACCTAAATGTAGTATTACTTGAAGACTGAAAAAAACAAACTCTAATAAAACTCCTAGTCTCTACTTTAAATAACAACAAAATATTATCCATAATAAAACAGAAGTTATAGCAATTCAAGCTAGCACAACCATATGAGCATGCCCTTTATTTCAATCCTACTACTTTAACCAATTATAGATTGTAGAAGCATCTATGATAGTCTTGAGACATCGCATAAAGGTTTGCCCTTATCTATGTCCCTTCAATATGAAAGAAAGTGACATGTCAATTGAACTGCACTTCAAGTTAAATAAAACAATAGCATTAAATCTATCAAGACAAGGCATTAGAAGCATAATGTAGCTTTTCAAATATAGCAGCAATGAATACAATACATAGGATAAATTCCAGATCAAGTTAAGAAAAGTTTACCTAGAACCAATACTTAGGTGGTTCAAAACAAACGTAACACTTCCTTCAAATATAAAGGGTGATATCCTACCTCTTCCCAACCCATCACTATTCATATGGACATATTTGGAGGAATCACAACTCAAAATACTAAAGAAAAGGAAAAATGTTAGAAGAGGTGAAACTATTACAGGCAAACATCTTAACCTTTCTAAGTAACAAAACAAATTAATCACCTGTTCATGTACCATTCAACCATGTTTGATCTCAACTATAATAACCACTGCCAAATTCTTATGGCACAAAAAAACAAAGAATGGACTCATATTTTAAATAGCATCAATGAAATCATGACTCAAATCTTACCAGCCTCAACTCTCAAGCCCTACATATTAATAAATTTCACTACACCCTTCGACCAAGCAATAATGCCACAGTATATTGGTATCATTCAATCATCAATGGATATCTAGCAATGGACAAGAACACAAGTGTTCTATATAAGAACAAGTCCCTATTACATAACGAATTCTGGGCTCTATTAATAACAAAGCTACATGAGATCAACCACTATACCATTATCGAATATCATTTAACAAAAGTACCAAATTTGACCCTACCTACTTACTTAAATAGAAAAGTTAGCATTCCCTATAGTGCTTATATAGATGAATTAAAAACTTTAAAAAAAACAAAATCTCTAAACATCTAATTCAACAAAATAGAGAGTAGCAAACAAATAATCCCTACTCTGGTTCCCCAAGCAATATCAAGACTCCATTATAAAAACTTCAACAGCTCCCCCTTAATTAATTTTTCTATTGAATCCAGTATTACCGAATGACTAAAATTCATCAATCATTGCAAAAACCTATTTCTTATTAATGCAAGTCAGAATTGTATCTATAAGTCTATATCTATCGAAGACTACATATTTCTAAAAAAAACAAACAAGGAACTATGGCCAGAAAATAAAGTCAAGTTTAGAACCTTGATCATCTTCAGAATCAAGTTATTATTTAACTCTTTTCCAATAAGCACAAACTCCACAAATAATATCCCTTAACATATTCTGATCAAAAATATCCAAGATGTGATTATAAAATTGAAAATACAATACATATGATTGAATGTTCCAAAAGCAAGGAAATGATTTACAAAGCTATCACAAAGCTAAACAAACTAATCAACCAGTTCCAAAAGAAGAGACATTGTGAAACCACTACATCAGCAAAAACTTTCCTATTAGATACAAAAGGAAGTGTTTTACTTCTAATAGTTTTAACCATACCAAATGAGTATCTGAACAGTATCAGTAACAACAAATTAAAAATCAAAATTGTCAACAAATCCTTTAAGATTCTATACAAAATTTGAAAACAACATTTAGCCGCAGTAACAATATTTCTATAGACTGGCATTAAATGGAAGAAGAACAAATCAAATAAAAACAATCTCCTCCCAAAAAAAAACAACAACAATTATAATTAGAGTTACAATATATTTAACAGTATCTTAGACATAATGTAAATCAATAACAACTCCACAAACCTATCAATTTTTACATCTACTGTAATTTCATCATTTTTGAATGGGCATTAGCTATTCGACCTTGTTCTGGTATTTTTAGTTACAGACTGCAAAAGTGTCATAACAAGATAATTGCAATAGGCTATAGTTAACTTACTTATGTAAAGATTATTAATGTATTGTTTATAAATTGAGTTTCTAATAGAAACCTGCATTTAATGCTTATTTGCAATAAAAAAAAAAAAAAACTTCTTACAAATATCTTTTTTGAGTGTAGTCAGAGGATTAGCAGAAGAAGTATATATATTTTTTTAGGTTTATTAATAATAATATATTTTTTACTAATTTTTTAATTATAATAAAAAAATATTTACAAAAAGTTTTATACTTTTATACTAATAAAGTCTTATATCTTTATTAAAAACAACTTGAAAATAACTTAAGAAAGTCAAGAAATACTTTTTTTTATTTATAATAAAAAAGTACTAAAAGGAAGAATAATAAATAGTAAAGTATTAAAAATATATTTTCTAAAACAAAGAAATATATAAAGATCTTTTATAATGGGAAATAGATAAACAAAAGTTTAAATCTTGAAAACTTTTTTATTTACAATATTTATTCTTTTATAGTTATTTATTTTTTAAACTTTCTGAAAAATTTTTTTTACTTTAATTTGATTCTATATTTTGAAGTAACACAAATACATATAACTTTTATTAAAGATGATTGATTGATATGAAACATATTGGTAACAAAATATAAATAAGTTTTTATCAATTACATAATATGTTTTAATAATGTAATTAATGAGAAAAAGAGAAACCATCAGTGTAAACACTTCTATTTCTTTAAATAATGTGAAATTGAACAAAGGAACTATGAAGTTATTAGAATAAACATTAAATTCTTAGATAATATAATTTGTTCAAACTGAGATTTTTATTTTGATCAGATAAAGTATACAAAAAAGATTATATCCTTATTTCAATTAAGCAATAAGTTTAAAAAGCAAAAGATTGCAAGCTACTTTTCTTTTTAACAAAAGAAAAGTATCAAGCAGAATGCTAAATTCGAGTAGACAATAAGTACTTGGTAAAAAGATAATCAAGATCTAGAATAGATAAGTTTCTCAAATAATAAGAAAAAAAAAAGGTATTCCGGAAGGATTGATTTTAATAAGATATGATTTTTAGTCAAGGTTTTTGAAGGATATGAAGCTTTTATAATTTTGACAAAAATAAAACTTTTCAAGCTAAAATATTTATAATTTTTCTCAAACCTTTATAATAGCAATATAAAAAATATAATAAATAAAAACTTTTATAAGCAAATGGTATACTGTATATTACCCGTTTAATATTCTTTTCGACTAATAAGTTGAAAAAAAAATTTTTTCAAGACAATATTTTTTAAAAAATATATGTAAAAATGTACGTACAATTCCTGATATTCTAATAGTTTGTAAATAATTTTCTGGAATAATGCATTCAACTTGATCAAAATTTTTGATTATTTGTTCTACAAAGTTATGCATATCCCGAGCCCGTTAATTTATTAACCATGAACCTATGGACATATAGCGAGGAGTAGAAAAAGAGAATAGGTAATGTGCAACGGGGTTGACACATATGAAAGTATATAATATACCATTTTATGATGAACTTTTGTATCTCCCAATGTTAATTTTCAAAATGGGTATAAACTTTTGTAATATATATTTGCAATTAAATAAGAATTTTTGATGAGTACGCTATATCAATAAGATGTGTAATAATGTATATTTGAATTTAAACCAAATAATCAACCACCCCCGATATCGAATCTTTCATCTTCATATACTCATTCTTCATCACTAAGATCGCTTGGAGGCTCGTCATCATCATCATCATCGTCTTCCTGTGCAATATCGCTAGCATCCTGTATGACAAATAGATTAACCTAAATTTTAAAAATTCAAAATCCAAATATTCAATGAAATAAGTACAAGTACCACTTGCAATGCCAAGGTTGCTTTTTGAAGCAAATCTTTCAATTCTTGATTACCCGCATCAATCAATTGAATCGGAGTTTGCCAGTTTTTGTTTTGTATTCTTTCAGATACAAAAAAAAAAAAAAAGAAAAAAAAAATAGATATATATATTCGTCAACACATTCTAGAAACTTTCTTTATAACTTTCCATCTACCTTGGGTCCGAGCCATTATCGATCAATAACTGTACTACGAATGATAGCAGTATTTCAGTGCTAATTTAGAATCATAGGATTTATAACGGTGGAAACACTCTACTAAGCATACCGATTTCGTAAGCGACTGATGGGTCATCTGCGTATTGCACCGCCTTGTGCAATGGTGTTTCGCGTTCCAGTCGATTTTGAGCGTCGATATTAATTCCGTGTTGTTGCAAGAGCAGTTCAACGGCGGTGAGAGAACCATGTTGAGCACTGATTGCATTGCATTAAGCACAAGTGAATGAATGAAAATGGTTAATTCCCGAATAACGAATGAATAAAAAAATTTGACCATGTGAAAAAGACCGATACACACGCGTAATGAAGGGCGGTATTTCCTATGCCATCCGCATAATTTATATCGTAAGTGCCGGGCTGTGTAAATATGTCCTCGAGAATTTCTTCCGAGTCTTGTTTTGCGGCAACTAAGAGAAGTTCGTCTAAATGAAAAAAAAAAAAAAAAAAATGGAGTCGATGTTTTGAATATTAATGGTAACTTGTTTCAAAAGGGGAAAGACGCTTTTTATCAAATAAGCCTCTCTTTTCTTTTTAAAATTCACGATGTCTAGAAAATTCCACACAAACCAAATTTTACATAAGAACTCACTATTAGAGGCTCCTTCTTCGTCTGACATGGTAAAGATTAAGTGGAACCTGTAAATGTTTCAAGGGAAAAAGTTGGAAAGGTTGTTTCAATCATGTGACAACACGTGAAATGATTTGTCAAGGATGAAGTTGGCGGGCGCGAAAGTGCATATAAATTGAGTTCTAACTTATTCCCAATTCAAATCAACATTTCTCAACCATGGCTCAATTCGGAGGCATGTTTTTGATTTAAACTTCGATGGAGTAGTCCTTTGAATAATAATGACGTTTCATAACTATAGGTCATCTCAGGGGTTCAAGCACTGCCATTCACGTTATGGAAGTCTATCTAGACTATGTGGTATGGCGTATACAGGTTTCAAAGATTGCGATAAAATTGAAATAACCATTTTTTGATTAATTGGTCTCAGTGCCCCTTCTCCGCTAAAATGTTTGCCAGACTTCGAAATGTATATATGCCACTGTTTCTCGGTTCTCTCATTTTTCGCGCGTTTTAACGTTACACGACAACTTTTCGTTCCGGTATTTAGGAAGTGCTACCCTATATCGAACAAAAATATCCGGACAAGATTCAATTCTTGTTTCGTCACCAAGTTCAACCTTGGCACCCATCCTCCACCGTTGTTCACGAGGTAGCTAATGTTATCATGCTATGATAGAGAACGTCGAATGCAATGTTGTAAAACTTTTTCCTAAAAATCAATAGGCTTCTTTGGCCGTTGAGAAGATCAAACAAGAAAGCTTCTTTGATTTTTCGGCAAAACTCTTCGAAGTACAAAAGAAGTAGGAATCTCATTTTTCTGGACGGAATCATTTATGAAACCTTTCTAACAGAATTTTGCAACACATTAAATAGATATTTTGACGAGTCGGTTTACGATCTTAGCCGCGAACAGATATATCAGTCGCTGGCGGAACACGCAAAACAATTTGGAATTCCGAACGATCAATTTCTTACGTTGCTTCGTGTTAATTCGGTTGGTAACCCGAGTGAAGCTAGTAACTCGGGAAACAAGGTGACCAACGATCTCAAGTGGTTCATCAAATTAAGTCGCAAAAAGGGTGAGGATTTTTTCAAGGGATAAGAGTGATCTTTCATTCGGATCCGGGTATTTGTAACCTTTTTAAATTTCCGCAGGAATCCACGTTTCTCCCACGGTAGTGTGGGACGAAATCGCTGATGACAATGTCAGTTCCAGTTGGGATCTCGAAGAATGGAAAAGGTGGTTGGATAAAAAGATGGAAGGTTGAGTTGCGAAAATATGGAATTAGCTGGAAGGTTGAATTGCGAAAATTTGGAATTAGCTGGAAAGTTGAGTTGCGAAAATAATTGTTCGCACGGAATTTCATTTTTCTTTTCTGTTTTTCCTTCGCTCGACCTTTACTTAAAATTCAATGGCTTTGAAATTCAAAATGCGCCGTCTGATTATCTAATTTTGGGGTTATTCGGTATTTGCGAAAACGTGTTGCTATAAACAGGTTTCCATAAGTACGTACGCACGTACGTACATCGAGTACATTTGTACAACATCACACATAATACAGTCAGAATAGCTTACGTGGCGATGATCAGCGTAACGGATTCTGCAAATAAATCATAGAGACAATTGTTATTTGATAACGTTTACTAAAGCACTACTCAACTCTCCAAAAATGCCTGAAATAACTGTCACTGTCAAGTGCTCTAATGACCAAAAATATAGCGTGACGATAGACACCTCTAAAACTGTACTGGAATTTAAAAATGCCATTGCTGAAAAAAGCAACACTGCAGCGGACAAACAAAGGTTGATATATTCTGGGAGAGTCTTAAAAGACAATGACACCCTTGAGACTTACAAGATCACTGAAGGTCACACTGTGCACATGGTGAGAAGTCAGGCTTCCACCGGTACGTATTTTCTGAATGTTATCAGCGTGTTGAATAGCAACACAAAATCATTTTAAAACATTATCACCGTGTTCCACGGAGATTTTTGCATTGCGAGGTTTGCGTGTTCATCAATTTTTTTTTTTTTTCTTTTTTCCCTCGCTCACGATCTAGATTCATCCCAGACATCGTCACGAACTACATCTTCCGCAACGACCTCAACGACTTCGGAAAACCCTCCGCCAACAACGCAACCAGGTGTTCCTCCTTTCACATTCCCTCCAACGAATCCATTCATTCCAACTCCATTTGGATATGGAGGCTCTAATCAAAATCCATATGGTTTTCCGAATGCGAACCTGATGATGATGGAACAGATTATGCAGAACCCGGTTATGATGCAACGCATTCAGCAAATGATTCAGGATCCAACATTTATTGATAGCATGATTGCCATGTACCCAAATCTTTCACAGTTAGAACCTCAGATTAGACAGATGTTTCAGGATCCGGAGGTCCTGGCTTTAATGTCAAATCCCGAAGTAATTAGGAATATGGCCACCATGAACCCGAATTTTTTCAACGGTAGCGGCGGCGGCGGCATTCCTGGATTCCCCGGATCAAACACTCCAGCAACCACCAATAACAACGCAACCACCAATCCTTCTGATCCTTCGTCGAGGACAACCAATGCCGACACTACTTCTCCTACCAATCCTGCAACACCCGCAAATAATCTGCCATTCTTTAATCCCACACAAGCTTTCATCCCACTGTTTGATCCAACATTATTGGGGGCTCTTGCAATGCCTCCCACGGCCTCACCGGCTGCACCACAAATACCACCGGAAGAAAGGTTTCAGGTTCAACTTCGACAGTTAAATGAGATGGGATTTTTTGATGCTCAGAAAAATATCCGTGCATTGCAAGTGTGTCAGGGCGATGTTAATTTAGCTATCGAGCGACTGTTAGACCCTTCATTTAATTGACGCACCATCAAAATATGTAGAATTGCTAAAAATATGGATAGGTAGTCCAAGCTTGAACAATTGGTGTGTTAATTCGATCTTGCTTTTGATTATAGTTGTTTGCGTCTACCAGGTGATCATATCAGTGTCTTTATTTACTACTTATTCGACCTCCCTTTATATATAATAAATCACCAAGTTTCTGAACTTAATTAAAATAAGAAAAGGCGCTTTGACGCCCAAACGCAGGTAACATGTCAAAGTTTGACTCGTCAATCTATTTATTTTTTTATTTGGTTTATTTTTTATTTTTATCTTTCTTTTTTTTTCTAAAAAAAAAAAGAAAAAAAAAAAAAAAAAAAAAAAAAAAAGGATAACAAATGGATAACGAAAATAAATAAATACATGATTACCGAATTCATTATATAATTACGATAATTAGTCACATTAATAAAGTCGAGTTTGCTGACCTAGTATTGACAATCAAATTCAGTTTGGTGGGGGGATCATTAAGGAGGAGAGGGAATGGTATTGCGTCGTTGTGATCACTGGATGTCCGCGCGTGTAATATAAAAAAAAATTATGAACAAAAAAGAAAAAGAAAATCAAAAAACGAAATGTTCGCTTCTTATAATTACGTTCTGATACTTTCTTTCCTCCTCTTTTCTCTCGATAATACGACAAGCCAAGCATGAAATAAATCTTTAGGCATCCACCATCTCCCCTCGAGACGTTCCATATCAGTGTAGTGTAGTCTCTTGAGATCAATGTATCTCGTTATTAAATATCTAATTTCATCGAATTCTTCCATTCTCTTTTTTATGAATTCTTCAGTCTCTGGTGCATCCTCACCAGTTTTATCCCTTGAACTGGCCGCATTCGGGAACCATTCATCAAAGATACTCTCAAATAGCAAGATCTTGGAAATTTCGGCAACCTCGCCTTCCTCGGTGTCACATTTTTCCAAGCACTTATCCAATATCTCTATGACAAAATCTTTCGTGACATCTTTACTCTTGACATTGTCAATCCATCCATTACATCCGGTCATATAATAACAAAAATTCCTAAATTCACGGGACACATTGTCAACCACAAATTCCCTGATTCGTTTTTGATGTTCCTCCAACTTCGACAGATCCGAGTCCAACTTCCCACAACCCAACAACAGAAAATTAAAATAATCCTCGTCCTGGCCATAACGTATGGAGTCAAGACATTTGGTGGTAATTTCGGAGTTGCGGATTTGCATGGAGGAGATTAATATGGATATCAGCATTTCCGTGGACATGGTGACAAGTTCGATCGAGGGATCGTAAAAGAGATGGATCATCGAAACAAAGCCATTTGGCATTTCCGGGTGAAGTGCGCTCCAGGGAAGTGTCCATCGATCTATGTGTTGTTCATCAGGTGGTGAGGAGAGTAGTTGAAGAAAGTATCCCGATTCCTTTGACAAGATTATCTTGTGAAAATCGTAGGATTTATCATTTATATAAATCGTTATGTCACTGAGATAAGGGCTTATCTCGAATCTGAGTTGATCGAAGTGCTCGATTGTGGTCGATGGTGGCGATACGCTGCGTGCCACCTTAACATTCTCAGACCCACTCACATCGCGTCCGTAGGTCATCACGACTTCTAGCCACTTTGGTTTTTTCTGACTTAAAACAAGATAAATTGAAGAAATGTTAGGCATTGTTTTCTACGAGTGCTGTTGAGTCCGATAAACATCAAGAATTTGCACACGGCAAAAAATGCTCACGCTATCTCTTGCTTTTCATTAAGCTCTATGTCGTTGTTTTCTTTTAATATTTCAAACAGTCCTCGAACAATGAGTTCGTCTGGTATCAACCTGTCGTTAAAAATGTCTTCCCAGGTATTTGGATCTAGTAAAGAAAAATCCACCAGCTGAAACAGTTGATTGATTTTTTCTTTGCGTCTAATTCGTTCGGCGATCTCTTCAAACTCTTCGAAAGTGTAGAGCGATCCGCTTGGTTCTTTATTAACATCATCGGCTTGCGTGGTGCTAAAGGTTTCTTCGGCATCCAACATTACAGATGCAAAAGGCATGAAAGTAAAAACCATTTTATTCCACGTCTCATTAACATTTATGTCATCATATCCATCAATGGTATATTCCTCCACAATCCTCCTGACGGCTGAGAGTTTTTGATCCTCATCCTTAAACTGTACATATATGGTTTCTAGGATTCTTTCCAATCTGGAACTACTAAATATCTCGGGATGATGACCCCAAAGTTTGTCAAACGATATTGCAAGCAGCCAGTCGGGAATAATATCCTCGAATCCGGATTCCTGCGATTCTGCAAAAATATTGTAGACTTCTTCGGGGGTAATTAAGAAGTCCAAAGAGTTTGACAGCAAACATGAAATGGCTTTTTCACAGTCGTGGCAAATGGTTAAATAATCAAAATAGGTTTGGTACGAATCCAAGAAGTCGGTAAAGTATTCAACCGCGTGTTTCATAAGCTTTTCAATGTCGAACCGGTCTGCGATGGTTAATATTGAAATTAGGGTTTCATGACTTATGGAAATATAACCGGTGTACATGTAGTTCAGGATCGATTGAAACACATTGTGAGGGTCCTTAAGTCGTATGATGACCGAGTTTGACTTGTGCTCGGTGAAATTTCGGGAGGACTCAAAGAGGACTTTGAAGTATCGTGATTGTTGAGACAAAATGTATCGATGAACTTTGTATTCTTTAGGCGGGATGGTTTCTTGTAATGACTCGTTTATAATGAAGATACTAAAGTCCGAACAGAATTCGTAGGTTTCAAAATCGAGCTTCTTGGGCGATTGATTTTTACCCATCGCAGAAAAAAAAAAAGAAAAGAGAAAATAAATAAAAATAACGTCCGACTTTCTCGATAAACATGAAAATTTATATCTGATCGAATTTTCGTAAGCACATGATTTTTTCTCCGTCTCCCGCAGAACACTTCGCAGTCCGCAGCAATCGTTATTCCTTGCGAATATAATCCGAGTAACTGTCCGCAGCGCGCGTGGCAAAGCAGAGCCTGAAAGTGGAACTTTACTGGTGTATCAATTTTTGCAATTTATGACTTGAGTTTCCTTATTGTAGCACAAAATTAAGGCGGTTTTTTTTTTATAATAACTTATTAAAATATGTAAATTATGATTTGACTAATACAGTAGATATACAGTATAAGGCATATTTTATTGACTAAATTTTCTTTTTTATCGCAAACGAGCATTGAACATTCATAAATAAGGCATTAATAATCTTTACAAAAAGTAATTCAACTATAACCTATTGTGAGATACTGTATCTAACAAGTCAAACTATTGAAAAGTAATCAAGTTACTAGAATTGGATTGAATAGTTAATTCTTATCTAGAAACAAAGCTATTATTATAAAAAAAATTGTTTTATTAATTGAGTTGTTAAATATTTTTGATACTGTATATTAATAATTATGTTTAATATGTAATTATTATTATAATAAATTTAAATTAGATTTGAATGTTTTACAAATTTTATTATTTTGACCTGTGGATCAATAGCACAGTGGTAGTGCTCCCAGGTCACAATCACAAGGTCTGTAGTTCAATATCACTTAAGG